TGAACCTCATCATGCAGCAGGCTACTTCACGCATCCCCAGGATCGGCACTTTCTTTTCCGACCTTGCAGGATTTTCTGCTTTCTTCTCCAGGTCTCCCAAGCGAACCACCGTGCTTGACGAAGTGGTTGCGCATAGACTCCCCAGAGCCTCTACAACACGGTGGAACTTCCACAGTCGCGCTGTAAACACTGTGTACGAGTACAGGGATGACCTCCTAACGTGTTTCCAGACCATCAGAGACTCTGGGAACTTTGATGCCCCGACTGTCAGAGAGGCGGGGGGCTTTGTGAGGATGCTCGAAGACGAGGCTTTCTGTTTTTTTCCTGGCACTGTTCCACAAGATCATGCCAAATGTGGACATGCTTTTCAGCCAGCTGCAGAAGAGGAACATCGACCCTGTCTTCATTAAAGCACTTGTCCAGAGGTTCACAGACAGCATGCTAACAATCAGGTAAATAACTATATTTACTATTGGCTGATAAAGATGTTGTTAGAAAGATGAATAGTTCACTTACAACAGTTTAAAAGCCTAAATGTGTCTGGTCATCAAAGTGAGTGATTATCATAGAGCCGTCACAATTATATTTGTTTTAGTATTTTAAAAGGAAAGAGAAGACACAATCAGACATTGATAATAATGCAGGAAAGTACTACACAGTTTGTAATAATTATTCAGGTGTCCACCAGGTCAATTTCTAGAAGAGGCCTAGTTGTTATTGAAGATTAACTTTATTGCTAAGTGCACAGCAGAACAAAATGATGTTGCATCCCTCTCACAAATGTAATAGAAAAAGGCTTTAAAACGTAATAACATCAGTTAATTATGTACATCACAGGTTAAAAGCAGTTACTAGACATAGTTTGTGTGTATATACACACTATCTGTCTGTCTGTCTGTCTGTCTATATATATATATATATATATATATATATATATATATATATATATAAATAAAAGTCACTGGTTGTGTGTTGAGGGGGAATTACAGTGAGTTAAGAAGTCTGATTGCAAGTTATCAAATTAAACTTTATTTTTTGGACCCAGGGCCTCAATTCCCTCTTTGTGTGGGGACAGCGCATCTGACGAGCAGCAACAGCCCATCAAGCGACGGAGGATGCTGGGACCAGGAGAACAACAGAGGTTGGCTATAGAGGTAAGTTGTGATGTAATTGTCAGTGTTTCCCCCTAGAACTATTTTCAGGCCTGGTAGTATGTAGCCAAAACCCTGAACAATCAGCACCTTGGTAATCATATACTTGAGTTGGACATAGGCATGTGTCAGTCAGGATCACTTGCATCAAAATAGCTTAATTGCAAATTAAAGCTGATGATGTATCTTTTACAGGTATGTGATACCATCCTGAGTCATGCCAAAGAGAGGTTCTCCTTCACCCAGCACCTCATCAGCGCAACACTATTGCACGGAGAGTTGTTCCCACAACACAGTGTGAAGTTCCCCGATACAGCGCTTGAAACAACCGTGGAGGCGTACCCCATGTTGAACAAGGCCAAGCTCAAAACCGAACTGTCCCTCATCTATGAGAACAGTGAGTTCAAGGCTTGTAGTGGTGCAGTGCCCCTGTACCAGTTCTTCATGGAGAACAACCTTCAGAGCACTTTCACAGAGACTGCCAGCCTCCTCAAGATCCTCATCACCACACCCATGACAACTGCTGAGTCAGAAAGGTGCTTCTCTACACTGAAAAGGATCAAGACCTTCCTGAGAAACAGCATGACACAGGATCGCCTGAACGCTCTGGCCATGCTCTCCATGGAGAAGAAACTTGTCAGGGACATTCCTGACTTTAATCAAAGGGTCATTGAGAGGTTTGCCACTCAGAAGGACAGACGGGCAAAATTCCTGTACAAATAAGATGACAGACACACACACACAGAGCAGCTCTGGCCGCATGTTTCTTTGTATATAGTTGACCTTAGCATAAAAAATCCAGTTATATATGGTACTCTAGAAAGTCTTAATAGTGTCTTTGCTAATATTACTGTATATATGTTGTTTGTATCAATTAATTGTTGCAGTTCTGGAGCACATTAACAATTAGTCACATTTAGTATGATCATAAAATACTGTATGCTATTCTTCCAGTCAAAGGTTTGAGTTCATCCACTTGATATCCATTTCTATATTATACATCCTTTTATACAGTGTAAGATTTCCTATAAACTTTATAATAATTTCATGTTATTGTCCACTTTCCACTCTGTTCTGACAGCATGCCTGTTGCGTTGCCTGTTTACTACCAATGGTGAAAAGTTCACTTTAAATGCAAATGAAAGGCTTGGGTTTGTGTAATATGTTTTTGTGTAAGAATGCCTCAACTTTTTAATATTGGCATTAAATAATTACTGAATGTTTCACTGAGCACTGCTGTCCTGCAGTTTGTGTTAAAATATATCGCGATGGTTACAGGAAAAAAAAAGTATGGCACAGCCCCACCGAGAATATTTTTCACCAGCCGCCACTGGTCATAGTAGTGGATTTTCTATGCTGTTAAGACTTAGAATATTTTGAATTATTTTTATCGTGAAGATTTCTGGTATTTGCCTATTTTATTCTTATTGCATAACTGTAATAAATCTGATTACTTTTAAATGGATACGAACTGTATTTCTCACATTTCTGGGTAATATTCCTTGAATTATTATTTGGTGAAATGTCTAATGGTAAATGTAATTTACAATTTACATTGCATATATGTTTGGTGTCTAACTGTGCAGCTCTGAGCTGAGGTTAACTAAATCATTTAATGCTAGGACACTGATTGCAAGATATTAGCTCATTGTCCCTTGGCCTCTTAACAATTGCATAACGGTAAACCTAGACAAGTGCATTTTATAGTATTCCGAGTGGTGACTTAAGGCTTGCTACCTTGGCTAGATCCATCGGATACGATTATGGGCCTATAGCATTCACATGATAATGGAGTCAGATGGTATATGATATTAGGGTCGTAAACCCATAAACTAATTCTGTGCTACACTAGCTTTGGTCCAGGGTGTAGCTAGTAGCTAGCTAGCTCTGGTCCGCACTAACTAACTCTGGTCGAGGCTGGAGCTAGTTGTAGCAACTATCTAGCTAGCTCTGGTCCGCACTAGCTCTGGTCCAGGGCTAGCTAGCAGCTAGCTACTAGCTAGTCATGTAATCTCACCACCATGCTGTTGGTGGCAGTAACGCATCATCTTCTCTGGGACCATTCAACATCCTGTCTCAGCTCGTATGTCTCATGGCATCTGTTCCCTGAGAAGGTACAGTATCTGCTGAAGCCAGACCCTATTGGTATTTTTGGCTACTTGCCATTGTTTTATGCATTTATATTAGCCAGTGGTCTTTTGCAATGACACTAATTCTAAACTATTTTGTTCAGACTATTTAATAGGAAAATATTACAGTTGATTACTTTTGAATAATAGCAAAAGTGCAGCATAGAGCGGTTAGCCATTTCATGTTACTGCTTCACACTGCATTTATTCACTGCAGTTAATCTCATCTAGTAATAAAAGGCCAGAACCGGCATCAGTGTGTCCCGCGTCCAGTCAGTCTACATGCACCACAACACAAGCAGAACAGAAGCCAGAACACAGTAGCATGGTCCCAGACAGGCTACACTAACAATACATTAAGTTCCATTAATCAACATAGTAGCTTAATTTACCTGTAATTGTGTTAATCTGTCTGTGGAGAAATTGCATGAAATTAAGTTGGATATACATAAAAATAAAGTAACGATATGGTACACAAACTATGGTGAAATAGTCATTTACATGGGAACAGATCAATGCTTTAGAATAGTGTCAAGGCCCAGTAGGTACACTGAAACTATTGTAAAACTATAACTTAAGTACAGCGCTGAAATAACTGGCTAATGACAGGAAAGTAATAGGGAACAGGTAAACAGAACCGCAACTAGCTACAAGCAAAGACCCAAAAAGTACGTTTCTCAAGTCTTCCTACGAAAGTTCCACATACATTCTTAATAAGTATGGACGGTGCTGCTGAGAAGCGGTAAATTGACCTCAAATACTTATAACTTCTGCTTCTTAACCTCTATTGATCGTTCTTCAGTAACAAATAATTGTTTCTACATAACTTTACTTGGAGAGGAGCCAAGTAAGGCCCCCTGGCCAAACCCTCCCCTAACCTGGGCCAATTGTGCGTCACCCGGTTGCGACAGCCTGGGATCGAACCCGGGTCTGTAGTGACGTCTCAGGCGCTGCAGTGCCAGACAGTATTGCCTTCTATTGGATATTTTCAACCAGTGCTGTTAACCTCTAATTCACACCCGTCGTTTAGGCTCCAAACGCTGTGCCAGAAAGGTGTTCTGCCGAAACGAGTGTTTCCACTGACTCCGAACAGGCCTCGCACCAAGCAGCCACCAGGTGGCTGGGGAATATTTAGGGTCACCGAACAGTTGATGGCTGCAACAATCCTTAACTGGAATCAGAAGCAGCGTATTCATACCGCAATAAGTGTTAGACATGTACACAAAGCATGGGGCAACCTTGCCCATGAGAAGCCTACATGGATCCATTTCCTCCCCATGTATGGAGGCTGAGGGCTTTGAGTGGCAGTGTATGGGCCCCTCTTCCCAGCGATCCAAACAAAAGCCTATTTTCTGGGAGGGAGCCGAGGCCTCAAGCCATCCCATACAGATCATAGCATGTCTGTGTGGGGATGGTAGACGTGAACTATAGAAGGCCAGATGGCATTTAGTCAGAACTGAATGCAATGACACTGCTTTTGTAAAGTAGTGAGCCTCAATACAGTAGATACCATACAAGAGTAGTGAACTACACCAAATACCAGAATTTGTATATAAGTGCAGACACATTTTTATTAGTCAATTGACGAAGTAAGCAACCTTAAGCATTTAATACCACACTTGCTATTAAAGTGAACACCATTCAGTTTAAGGAAGCCAATCTTTATTTGTCATTTAGAGCATAAGCAGCATGTGTAGGGATGACAGTCCTCCAGAATCCTTCACACCCCAGCTTTGACCTGGCTGTTGGGTGGGAGGGGCTTGCCCAGGTGGGTTCCGACAGTCAGGCCGAACTCACTGGCTGCTTGCTTCTCCTGGATATCCTCTTTGAGCTGGAAGCCCAGTCCTCCATCGAAGCTGTCCGAGGGGGTGAAGGTGAGTGGAGTTTCTCCCATTAGACCTTGCAGCCGCGTGCACCATGCCTCTAGCATGCTACGGCGAGCCTCGGAGGGGATGTGGGGTGGAGCCCAGAAGATCTGAGGAGCCAGAACCTGGAAACCACAGTAGTGCAGGATGCCATTCTAGAAGAGGGAATTAACTGGTTTAAGCATGCTCAAGTAGATACATATGAATTGATTTGGCCAAGTGAATTATTGAAATGAGTGCTTGCCAGCCTGGAAGTCAAACGTTTGAGTGTGTTATCCAGTGGGGATACCAGAGCAAAGCAAAAGCTCATTGCTGGTAGTGCCAGCCAAGCCTAACATACCTGCAGTGGCCACAGGGTGACATTAATGTCTCCATTGATACCATTGGCACTGAACATAGACTCCTGGGATCCAGTGGTGAAGGACAGCATGGCTTTCTTGTCCTGGGGGAAAACCATCCAGGTGAGGAGAAATGTAAAATGGACCACAGGAACATTCCAACCATGCATTTTTTTTAAGGCACGTTGCAGTCAATTAATTTCTGTGCTGATGACAGGAAAAGTGTTCAGTGATATTTCCTGATTGTTTTTTCAACCAGCAACTATTACACAGGACCTTTAGTCAGGTTTGGGATGGGTGGCGTGTCAGCGACGTCACACCAGGCGATAAACTATACAAATATATAAATGCAACATGTAAAGTGTTGGTCCCATGAGCTGAAAAAAAAAAAGTTTCCAGAAATTTAACATATGCACAAAAAGCATCTCTATAGGTTGTGCACAAATTGGTTTACATCCCTGTTAGTGAGCATTTATCCTCTGCCAAGATAATCCATCCACCTGACAGGTGGGATATCAGAAGCTGATTAAACCGCATGATCATTACATGGGTGCTGAGGACAATAAAAAGGCCACTAAAATGTTGTCACATCACAGGTGTCAAGTTGAGCGTGCAATTGGCATGCTGACTAGGAATTTAAATGTTAATTTCTCTACCATAAACCCTCAATATTGTTTTAGAGAATTTGGCACAATGTCCAACCGGCCTCACAACCACACCAACCCAGGACCTCCACATCTGGCTTCACCTGCGGGATCGTTTGAGGGAAGCTCATCTGTGCGCTTGTCCTCACCAGGGTCTTGACCCGACTGCAGTTTGGTGGCGTAACAGACTTCAGTGGGCAAATGCTCACCGTCATGCTGAAGATGTGGGCTTTACATCTGTACCGGGCGAGTGGTTTACTGATGTCAACAGAGTGCCCCATGGTTGAGTTGTTATGGACAAGTATAAGCTACAGACAACTGCATTTGAAGTCTAAGGCAATTTGAATGCACAGAGATTGACGAGATCCGGAGGCCCGTTGTCATGCCGTTCAGCAGTCATCACCTCATGTTTCAGCATGATCATGCATGGCCCCATGGCGCAAGGATGTGTACACAATTCCTGGAAGTTCAAGATGTCCCAGTTCTACCATGGCCGGCATACTCAGACATGTCACCCATTGAGCATGTTTGGGATGCTCTGGAGCGATAGTGTTTTAGTTAACTTCACAGCTATTGAAGAGTGGGACATTCCACAGGCCACAATCAGCCTGATCAACTCTAAGCGAAGGAGCTGTGTCACGCTGCATGAGGCTGACTGGTTCTGAGCCACACACAAATGTAGACACCCCTTCAAATTAATGCATTCGGCTATTTCAGTCACAGCTGACAGATTTATAAAATCAAGCACACAGCCATACAATCTCCATAGACAAATATTGACAGTAGAATGGCCTTACTGAAGTGCTCTGACTTTGAACATGGCACAGTCATAGGACGCCACCTTTCCAACAAGTCAGTTTTGACAGATTTTTGCCCTGCTAGAGCTGCCCTTGTCAACTGTAAGTGCTGTTATTGTGAAATGGAAACGTTGAGGAGCAAAAGCTCAGCCGCAAGTTCTAAGCCACACAAACTCAGAACGGGACCGCAGAGTGCGTAACAATTGTCCTCAGTTACACGCACTACCAAGTTGATGTTCGACGAGCAGGTGTCCACATACAGCTGCATTGGGCCTTTAACAGTGACTATGGGATTGCGTCCCTTACCTTGAAGAGGCCCTGGCTGTACCTCTTTTCTGAGGTGTAGGCAAATCCCAGTGTGAGCACCCGGTCCAGCCAGCCCTTCATGATGGCAGGAACAGTGAACCAGTACATGGGGAACTGAGAAATATGGGAGACACTAGTCAACAACCAGTACCTGGAATGGGTGCATTTCAGCCACCATCCAAAAAGTAAAGAGCTGAAGGGTCTACATTTAATTTATAGGCTCAAATTGAGGCTAAGTTCCCTCAGACACTACCCCAGGAGAGCACACCTGGAAAATGACAACCTCCGCATCAGAGAGTTTGCGGTGTTCCGCAGTGATGTCAGCAGAGAGTCGGCCCTCCTGCCACGCCAGCATGGTCTCCTCTCCATATCGGAAGTGTTCAGCATCCTTCACCTCCCCTGATAAAGCATAACAGACTGAGACTAAGCAAGTTGAGGTAGAAAATAAAAGCCACTTACCCACAAAAAGTTTAGCATTTAATTGGCACACACTACAGTAATTAAGCAACTCATAGTTCAGACTGTTACCAGTGATGTCGTCAACAGTAGCAGAGGCTTTAAACTTCATGGCGTAGAGGTCAGACACCTCCACCTTACAGCCCTGAGCAGTCAGAGCTGTCACAGCTGCATCTTTAGCTGCAGCGTTAAACGACCCAGTACTCTGGTGGGCGTACACGATCAGAACTTTCTCGGCTGCAACACAAGATCACAGATCAGTCACACAAAGTATTACTCAATGAAAGAAACTAGTTTCTCTAGCATAAAGACAAAGTGAAAATGGCACCCAATCTGGAACATACGAAATCACTCACCCATTTTCTAGAGTGCTGCTTGTGATGAGCTAAGGGTCAAGGTGGCTTGGAGGGAAACTAGCTAAGACTGACTGAAGGCTGAGACTGCTGCTTTTGTAATGCTCTCTGGACCAAACACACCCTCTCACACAGCTGCCTGTCAATCAGCAATCAAGCTAATAATCTGTCAGTCATTCAATCAATCAGTCTGTCATCGCTCTCTCCCTCTCCCCGGGAGAAGCTCAATTGGTTTTGCTCGACTCCTCGCGTTCTCATGGAATCCTAAAATATATGTGTAAAGTGGCAAAAATAAATTGAGCTGATTGTCCCATACATTTTATAGATAAAAGACAAGGAGCGTATTGTTTAGAAATATGTCCATGCTTTTCTCCTCTGAGAAAACAACAGCTGATTCAAAGGGGGTGTGGATGATTTCAAAATGCTTCCATGATAGGGAGCAGAGAAGATATACTTGTGCTTCCTCGGCGGGAGGAGGCTATAAAGGAGAGGAGGGCACTCCTCCGTTCCCCTACTAACGAATTTACACACTACTTGACCACTTATCGGTTTCCGGATCATGGAGGAGAGACTTTTTCCCAATTCAGAATATCTCCCCCTCTCTCACATTCACACGTACACACACTATTATATACTCAAACTGCCAACTGTTTAGTCAATGTACTGTTGTGATGAACACAAGTTAAACTAATCACAGTTTTGGACAGTGTTCCTTATTGCCTGTGAAACATGCCAAGCATTGTTGAAGCTATTCTGGACAATATCTATATCCTGTGGCGCAGGCCAATGTGGGACCACTGACCTCGGCCAACCAGTCTATATCCCTGGGTTTGCGCGTGTATGTGCATGTGTACATGTGCAGGTGTGTGTGTGTGCATGTGTTTGTGCATCTGTGTGTGAGCCTACAGTACTTGCATGCTGGCATCAGAGTGTGTTTACGTGTGTTGTGTGTGTGTGTGTTCACTTTAGGTGCAGATAGGGTTGCAAAGGGAGGTTATATTTCTGGTAACATTCAAAGTTTAATTTGGTAACTTTCAAGGATTTTATGTAATTTATCACATGAGATCTAGTGGCCTTTTTGGTTACTCAGATTATCACAGTTGTCTGTAATTATCTCTGGCCCTCTGTGTGGCCTTATCACATGTAAAATATATATAAAACAATAAAATATTATTTTAAAATAGAAAATAGAATGACAAAGCTGTAAAACATCCTAAATATAACCCATCAATATAGTGAATACCATTGTTGTTTAATATGAGGGTTTCAGCCAGGGGCGGACTGGATGTCGAGAAGTGAGGGACTATTCCTGGTAGGCCGGTCTGATCAGACCGGCGTGGGCCGCGCTCCTCAACTGGCTCTCTCTCGCTCTCCCAGTCGCTCTCTTTTGTTCTCTCTCTCTTACACACAAACACACACACGACGGCCACTCTCTTGCATGGACTTACTTTCTTAGCTACAGTATACATATCTCCCTGGCATATTACATCATTTATGCAGCAGCATACAATACATTTTTGGACTCAACTTGTTGTACTCACTTGAACAGGGAAGGTGGCGCAGTGATCCTTAGTGGGCAAAAGTCTGGCATTCTCTGGATTTATGGTGCTTTCAAGACAACTGAGAACTCCGAAAAAAAACAAGGTTATGATGTCAGTGATCTTCAGGTCGGAGTTCTAGAAAGAGGCCAGAGTACCCGACTTGGAATTCCGAGTTGGATGACCATTCAAAACGTATTTTCCCAGTCAAAGCTAGTTCCCAGTTGTCTTGAACTCACTGAAGTCTGCGATTTCCCAGTTCCGACTAAACAGTTGTTTTGAGCGAGGCAGAAATCATGCTGGATTGACAGCATGGCCAATGTTGAATGTTTATAATTTTAAGCTTGAAAAACAGACCCTTAAACCCAGAATTGGGACCACACGCCCACTCCACTGAATAGCAGGCTAGTGATTGCTTTGCAATGCTTGCAGTTAGCCACTGATTCCTTCCAAACCACTCATTGTTGAATTTGCAATTTCCAACTTGTTGTGTAATGTTTATGTCCAATGTCCGATGAGCACATATGTTTATTCTATAATTTCTCTTCATTATTTATCTTCATATGACAAGGATTAAAAAGGATTTGCTAGTAGATTGTTGGCTTGATTCATGATGATGACTGCTAGCTAAGATTTTGAAAGTATGATGTTGACATGATCAGTCCATTCAAAGATATAACATGATTTAATGTCATTTTATCTGTGGCTAATGACCTTGAGCCATCTTGGATGTAACTCTATGGCCAATAACCTTGAGCCTTCTTCTGATGTAACTCTATGGCAGCACCAAAGGGGCTTGAATTTTCGAGCTCAACCCTTAGATTTGGCAGTGACGTAGTGTCCCCATGAGTGACAGAACACTGAGCCAATCACGGTGCAACTAGAGAACATTACCAACCCCTACGCTCCGTATTTTCCGCTGGCTGCCCCACCACCACCACAGAAAGCACTGAGCTAGGCTGAAACACCTGCATTTTGGAGCTGCCTTACTCAATAAAGCAAAAAATAGACCATGTTTTATTAACCCAATGATTATGATTATTATTATTTTTACATTGTGACACGTATTAATGCCAAAAATAAAATGCAAACCCGCTTTTTTTTTGTTGCTAAAAATGTGGGGCTCAAAACAGGTGGGGCTCTGTTCCATACACCATCGCACAACAGGTTGAAGTCAAGATGGGTTTCTTTGCCATGATGCCATCAATGGGTTCCTAAATATGAACAGAGCAATAGACGGCACCCACATCGCCATAAAATAACCATCCAAAACCGAAAAGGCTTCCACTCTTAATGTGCAGGTTATAGGTTATGTGATGCGTAAAAGACACTGCTGAATGTAGTGGCAAGGTGGAACGCACAACTCGTTCATTCGGCAGAACAGCAATGTTGGCCTATACACCTACAGGAGGGAGCTGTTGAGGATGGATGGCTTATTGGTGAGTGTTGCCTATTCATTTGAAGTATATTTGCCATTGCTAAAGCAACTTGAATTGTACTAATGGTCCTCTCTTTGTAGCTATGTTTTTATTTTTACTGGTCAAGCAACAACGAGCGAGCCAAATAAAACCTTTTGATTGTACTCCATTTTTGACACTAGCACCTCTATTTCAGTCTCTGCAAAGTTTTTTTCTTAGCTTTTTTTGGTTGCACCGTTGTATTACATGGTACAGCGTTGTATATTCCTCTCAGGCTTTAAAGGGACGATTTTGACCATATATGGTTAATTAGGAGGGTTTTGAAATGCAAATAGCCAAGGTCGTGCACGAGCACTGAGGCAATTGGTATTTATCAATGGTTATCTCATACCAGTGTGCATACTGTATGACGCTCGTAGGGTTGTTTGATAAATCACCCTTTTTCTATGCATATGAACATTCTAAATTGCGTTAGTAAGTAGTATTTTAGAATAGTTTCTACGCAGTATTGTGACCATGGGAGATTTCTATATTTACTCACCTCTCCTTTTGGGCATAAGGTTGCACAGTTTCCTATAGGCCAGCACCAGGTCCACTTTAAAGAGGCAGCACGTTGCTACTCCAAGAACAGCCATAGAAAAGACCAGGCAGAGACACACACATGTGTAGAAACCACTGTGAATGGCCAGAAGGAAAGGAAGTGAGGTATGTTATCACATTCTGTGCTGACAGACAGTAGCTGCTAGTCTAAGTTACTGTAACAATAACAGCACCTTACATCAAATCTCTCACTAATGACATGGCCATCGTCCTGTTCAAACAGACTCTTATGGGTGATTTGAAGTCCTTCATGTTACTCAGGAGTGTGTTTGGGATCCTACCTGGTTGGAGCCAGAGCAGCCCTATGTCCGCTGAACACACCAGCTCTATCATTGAGCCTGCCGTCAAACAGAAAACACTCTGAGTCAGCAGCTGTGACATGGCCCAGAAAGACTCAATTACCCAGCAGTCTTCACACCAGATTTCTATTACACACTAATATTCAAGGGAGGAGAGATAGCATTATCTACAAAAAAGCATGACGTCATCATTGCTCACCTGGTTCAACCACAACGGTTTCCTTTCTGGGGTAGGTCACTTGGGGTTACAACAGGACTTTTTCTGCCAATACACAGACCACACAGGTAAGGCCTACAAAACTTAAAAAGTTACAAATCACTTAATTATCACCAAATATGTAAAAAATATATACACATTATACAATTTCACACTTTGTTGCAGCCACAAAAAGTGTGGTGAGAAGAAATATATGTTAATTGAATTTAAATGGAGGTACAACTTTACCTTTGTTAAATTTGAGCTGAGTGCTGTGGGCGGTGGTGTGGTTTCTCCCCTGCAGAGAGAACTCTACCAGGCAGGCGTACATTCCAGCATGGCTCTCAGTAGCATTGATCATCCGGAGCCTCTTCAGACCATCTTCTTCAATGATCTTCTCTCCATACTGGTCGACAGGGCTACAGTCCTGCACATCCCATCAGAGATGCTGTGGGTCAAAGTTAGCTCACGCAATCCTATCTACTTATCCCACAATAGAAATGTCTTTAATGTTTTTTAAGTTACCAATTTTGAGCAATTGACACTCATGACAGGTAAGGCAGTTAGTTCAGCTAAACAACAGTTCAGTCATGACTGTATCTTGTCCATTGTCAGCTGCTATGAATCTGTTACCTCATTACTATGACATTGTAAGACCAGTGGCAGTCGGTGCCGTTTAAGATGAGGAGGATTTTTTTAAATGAGTATTGCCACATTTCTATAACAGCATATTGGATGACTGTCATTCATATTCCATTCACCCAGCTCAATGTAACATCGATAGGTTTAGGCTACTACATTATAATTTTCCCTATACCTATCATGAGGTTGCTACAACATAGCCCAATAATGAAAGTTTACAATGTAGGTGCACAGGTCGAGAGAAGAATTTGAGTAATCAAAGTGACAGACAGTGACACATTCAATACCGCCTTGCACCTTCTTGTCTGCATCTAGCTGATCTAGGGTGTAATCATTAGTCCAACAGTTGCAAATGACAGTTTCTATTGGACAAATTCAGGTATGTTTATCCCCATTTCGTTCCGTTTGCTTCCGTTTAAGTTTTTTTCTTTTTTTCAGAATCGGCGGAATGAATACACCCCTGATCACACGCAAACACAGTTCACTTTCATAGTAGCCACATACAAACAGCATGAACCTTTTGCTTGTTGTATAATTCCTTCTCGCATCTACGCGCTCTCCTCCTCTCACCTTTTTCCTTCGCTTATGGACTTCAGTGCACAACACATCAGCTGTCTGTGACCAGGCGAAAAAACCTTTCCAATCCAAACCATCATACAGTATCATAACCGCTAACCTCTACACACAGCGCATATCATTGTCAACATATTAGCTAACGTCATAGTCAACATAGCTACTAGAACTAACACGTTAGTAAACCTGCTACAATCATGCAGTACAGTGTACAGCAAGCAGTTTAGCAGTTACACTGGCAAGCCCCGGTGGCAATAAATGTATATAACCAAAAGCTTACCTTGACTTGGAAGAGTTCCAGTGTTGGATAGCCATAGCCAGCTCGCTAACATAGCATCCCTCTTTGTTTGAGCCGGGTGTTTGAGTAGGCTAAACTAGCTTGCTGCATTTGCCAGCTAAGTAAGTGAAAGTGAAAAAAAATACAACTAAATATAGCTAGCTCTCTTTCTCTCTCTTGATTCTCCTTCATTTTTTAAGAAATGAATTTGTTCAAAACTGTTCAACTATTGTCTTTCTCTCTCTTTGAGTCAACTACTCACCACATTTTATGCACTGCAGTGCTAGCTAGCTATATCTTTTGCTTTCAGTACTAGATTCATTCTCTGATCCTTTGATTGGGTGGACAACATGTCAGTTCATGCTGGGTTGAGCCTCCTAGGTTTTGTATTGAAGGAAATGTACGGAAACTAGCTGTCCTCCGGCTACACCATGGTGCTACCTTACAGAGTGCTGTTGAGGCTCCTGTAGACATTCATTGCAAAACAGTGTGTTTTAATCAATTATTTGCTGACGTGACTATATTTAGATTATTGTCTAATCACTGAAAATGATGGTCCTCCCCTTCCTCCTCTGAGGAGCTTCCACTGCGTTAAGACAGGGATCTTCAAGCATAGTATTATGGTATGTGTGTCTAGTGGGGTGTCTGCCCTAACCTTGAACCATCGGATGTGTGCTGTGGGGTCCAGACGAAGGACATCTTGCTGTCTGCAGAACACCACTTCACTAGTCCCCTGGGATACAGCCCTGTTCTCAGCTGGGACAGGGCCCAGAGACAGCACAAACTCCATCTCCCATGATCCAGTTGGGTACCTGTGTTGTAATACACATGAACATTACATTTACGTCATTTAGCAGACACTCTTATCCAGAGCAACTTACAGTTAGTGAGTGCATACATTATTTTTTGTATTTTTTTTCATACTGGCCCCACGTGGGAATCAAACCCACAACCCTGGCGTTGCAAACGCCATGCTCTACCAACTGAGCTACATCCCTGCCGGCCATTCCCTCCCCTACCCTGGGCCAATTGTGCGCCGCCCCATGGGTCTCCCGGTCGCGGCCGGCTACGACAGAGCCTGGATTCGAACCAGGATATCTAGTGGCACAGCTAGCACTGTGATGCGGTGCCTTAGACCACTGCGCCACTCCATATGACCAGAGCACTCCATTTACTATTGTAACAGTGAAGTTGAGAATTATTAATGTGAGACGTGAATAGATTTAGGATTTGGAAACCAATCACCCTACTTCAATCTCTGCTTGTGATAGTGGAATTACCTCAAACATTCTTGAAGTCACTTTAGGAAGTAAAATAACATATGCTTTAACAAAGGCATTTGCTCAACTATATCCAGTAACATACAGAGGTTTCTTACCTACTCTCACAGATGTAGTGTCCACTATGGGAGGTGTGTAGAAATCATAGAACCTCCCCTCTGACCTCCACCCCAGAAGTCACGTTCAGGGTCTGGTTCCCCCCTCTGCTCCAGGTCACAGTGGTACGGTCCTCAGTGTCATCACCACACTTCAGTTGGAAGAAGTGACCTGCACTGATGTGGTGGGTTTCTATTGCCCCCTGGTGTTCTGGATCACACAGCGAAAAGGTTCTGATTACAGGTTTATGTCAACTCAATATGACTTCATCAATCTAATTTAGAAGAAGCAGCACTTAAAATGAATGACTCGCTGAGAAAACTGAAACCCAATGGCCTGTCAAACAAAGTCAGCTGCATCCACAAACAATCATCTGTGAACCACCAGTGGGTCCTGACCAGGTCGTGACCTTTTCAAGACACCCCAAGCAGGAAATGAAACTGCTGCTAAGAGTGCTGCAATATCTGTCTGCATGCAGGAGAGAAAGGCAAATCAATGCTTTTGTCACCCCACATCACCTTTATCTGTGTTCTCCTATCATGTAACCTGTAAGCTGTCCTCTATCTGTCACACCTTGATCTGTTTCACCTGTCTTTGTGCTGGTCTCCACCCCCCTCCAGGTGTCGCCCATCTTCCCCAATATCCCCAGTGTATTTATACCTGTGTTCTCCGTTTGTCTGTTGCCAGTTCGTCTTGTCTCGTCAAGCCTACCAGCGTTTTATCCATACTCCTGTTTTGCTCTAGCCCCTGTTTTCCAGTTTTGACCATTCTGCCTGTCCTGATCCTGAGACTGCCTGCCGTTCTGTACCTTGTGACACTGTTCTGGCCTCCACAATCCCCTGACCTCAACCCAATTGAGATGGTTTGGGATGAGTCAGACCACAGAGTGAAGGAAAAGCAGCCAACAAGTGCTCAGCATATGTGGGAACTCCTTCAAGACTGTTGGAAAAGCATTCCAGGTGAAGCTGGTTGAGAGAATGCCAAGAGTGTGCAAAGCTGTCATCAAGGCAAAGGGTGGCTATTTGAAGAATCTCAAATATAAAATATATTTTGATTGTTTAACACTTTTTTTTTTTACTACATGATTCCATATGTGTTATTTCATAGTTGTAAAAAATCACAATGTAAAAAATAGTAAAAATAAAGAAAAACCCTTGAATGAGTAGGTGTGTCCAAACTTTTGACTGGTAGTGTATATATATATATATATATATATATATATATATATATATATATATATATATATATATATATATTACACTGAGTGTACAAAACATTAGGAACACCTTCCTAATATTGAGTTGCACCCCCTTTTGCCCTCAGAACAGCCTCAATTTGTTGGGGCATGGACTCTACAAGGTGTCGAAAATGTTCCACAGGGATGCTGGCCCATGTTGACATCAATGCTTCCCACAGTTGTGGGAATTTGGCTGGATGTCCTTTGGGTGGTGGTCCATTTTTGATACACGGGAAACAGTTGAGCGTGAAAAATGGCACACATACACAATCCATGTCTCAATTGTCTCAAGGCTTTAAAATAATTATTTAAACCTGTCTCCTCCCCTTCATTTACACTGATTGAAGTGTATTTAACAGGTGACATTAATAAGGGACCATAGCTTTCATCTGGATTCACCTGGTCAGTCTATGATATGGAAAGAGCAGGTGTTCCTAATGTTTTGTACACTCAGTGTATATATCGAGAGTGAGAAAGCGAGAGAGAGAGTATGATAAGAGCATGATGCCACCTGTCTCCCATGACAGCAACAGTGAAGGCAAACATACCAGTCAAGCATTAGGCTACATTACATAGTCAAACATAATGCACCATTTCACACACCTAAATTAAAGCCACACCTTTGAAATGTTAATAAAGCCTTGAGAAATTAAAATATGTTATATAGGCCAACAGGTTACTTATAAAGCTTTATAGCTGCTTAATAAGTGAACATAAGGAACACTGCATATAAGCTAGCTGGATAGCTGGCTAACACTGCATATAATAGCCTACCCTATTTTGGATATAATAAAGATCATAGCAACAGTTGATATAGGAGAAGCCATTAACCACATGTGTTGTTTAACACAGCTGGTTTGCTCAAGTAAATGAATTTCTACTCTATCCAACCTGCCCATTCAAATTGAATAACAATTCAATAATAGAATAGAACCGGATTCAAAAATTAGAATCTTTCAATTTAAATTATTATATAAAATTCTTGCTACCAATAGAATGTTATTTATATGGGGGATACAATCTTCCCAGCTCTGCAGATTTTGCTGCGAAGAGACAGAATCATTAGATCATTTGTTTTGGTTCTGTCCATTTGTAGCTTGTTTTTGGACACAGGTCCAGGAATGGCTAAAGGATTGCAATATTTACCTGGAGCTAACCTTGCAGATAGCATTACTGGGTGATCTGAAAAGTCATAGTCAATCGATCAATAATATAATAATACTTTTAGCAAAAATGTTTATTTTTTATTCACAATCTGTAGAAGCAACGAGAATAGAAAGGTTCAGAACTTTTGTAAAACATCACAGTACGGTTGAAATATATATGGCAAATAGAAATCCTATATGGATGGTGTTAAGAGATAGATGGGAGGTATTGAATAGAGTTGAAGGATGGGACTAATAACAAATAACAACAAATAATAACAAAGATAGCTAATAATGTAAGCATACTGTGTCCATAATAAGTATATAGGTTGTATGTTGGGAGCTTTTGGGAAAGAGCACAGTTAGAAAGATATGGCATATAGAAGCAAACCGGATGGACATCATGAAAATGATCGGAGAGGTTGAGAGTAGAAGAAGTTCAGGAGCAAAAAAATAAAATAAAAAATATATAAATGTATATAGAATAGAATTATTGTAAAATTAACTGTGTCCATAAGGTGTAGATAGTAAGTATAGACCGGAAGTAGAGGCCTGGGCATTGTTGTTCACTAATTTACTCCAAGTAGGGAAAGGATGGCGGGGTTGAAAAGTAATAAAGGGGAGTATATATATAAAAAACATGGGGGATCGGAAGTGATGCAGACAATTACATTGATAGAAGATACAATCTATCTGCAATATTAAGCTGATCCATCCCCCCAAAAAACAATTCAATAATATATAAGTAATATATAAATAATAATATATAAAATAATATATAAACTATAAAATAGGGCGCAGGTAGCTTAGTGGTTAAGAGCGTTGTGCCAGTAACCGAAAGGTCACTGGTTCTAATCCCCGAGCCGACTAGTTGAAAAATCTGTCGATGTGCCCTTGAGCAACGCACTTAACCCTAATTGCTCCTGTAAGTCGCTCTGGATAAGAATGACTAAAAAAATAACACAAAGTGACACAACGTCTCATGTCATTCTCCCTCGTTTGAAGAGTGTGCGTTGCTAGCTGCTCTTTCATCCTGACTTACCTTGGCTGTGGGAGATGTGGAGCAACAGAGTCGTGAGAAAACAGAGGTAGAACTCCCCCGACATGATGTTCAGAGTCTGAGACAGAAAATTAGACCTAGCATCGCCTTTAAAATGTATCTCTTCCATTTCTGTGAAATAGACTATGAGCGGTCTTTGGCAACAACACAACACATCTCAAAAACAAGGCTCTTGAGAAATGTCCTGTCTTTTAATAAACCAACTCCTCAAGGACTTGCATTATAGGGGAATGAAACCCAGATTACAGAACCTAATAACAAAGTGCATAACAAAACACACAAATGAAAACCCAAGGGATATCCAGCCCCAGTCAGCAGTGAATCCACTTCAGTTGCGGGAAATCCTTTTGTAGGCCTACTGGCATTTTGCCAGAAAATTGCTATAATTAGGCTATAGTCTAAATACAATTGTTCCCTCAAGGCGCTACTCTTAGCTTCTCCACTTTTAGGAGTGAACGAGTCTTTACAACTAACCAGTTTCTTTGTTGAAATGTAGACACCATAAATTATGTTCAAACTTCTAAATTCATTAGTAATTGTTTTGTTGTAAATGTGTTAGTCAAACTTACCTTAGCAATGTAGTTGGATGCTCTCTGCTTTGTTTCTTGTCAGTGGAATGAACACCTCCTCATTTGGCATGTAGCCTATCTATAGGCTCTGGCTTGGCTGAGTTCCCCGACCCGATGCCGTGACCTGGTCTCAGAGCATCTTGTAGTATTCTGTATGTAAATCGGATATACACCATTTAGAATTATATGTTACATTTCCTATGGTACAGTTGAAGTCGGAAGTTTACATACACCTTAGCCAAATACATTTAAACTCAGTTTTTCACAATTCCTGACATTTAATCCTAGTAAAAATTCCCTGTCTTAGGTCAGTTAGGATCACCACTTTATTTTAAGAATGTGAAATGTCAGAATAATAGTAGAGAGAATGATTTATTTCAGCTTTTATTTCTTTCATCACATTCCCAGTGGGTCAGAAGTTTACATAATCTCAATTAGTATTTGGTAGCATAGCCTTTAAATTGTTTAACTTGGGTCAAATGTTTCGGGTAGCCTTCCACAAGCTTCCCACAATAAGTTGGGTGAATTTTGGCCCATTCCTCCTGACAGAGCTGGTGTAACTGAGTCAGGTTTGTAGGCCTCCTTGCTCGCACACACTTGTTCAGTTCTGCCCACACATTTTCTATAGGATTGAGGTCAGGGCTTTTTGATGGCCACTCCAATACCTTGACTTTATTGTCCTTAAGCCATTTTGCCACAACTTTGGAAGTATGATTGGGGTCATTGTCCATTTGGAAGACCCATTTACGACCAAGCTTTAACTTCCTGACTGATGTCTTGAGATGTTGCTTCAATATATCCACATCATTTTCCTTCCTCATGATGCCATCTATTTTGTGAAGTGCACCGGTCCCTCCTGCAGCAAAGCACCCCCACAGCATGATGCTGCCACCCCCGTGCTTCATGGTTGGGATTGTGTTCTTCGGCTTGCAAGCGGCCCCCTTTTTCCTCCAAACATAACGATGGTCATTATGGCCAAACAGTTCAATTTTTGTTTCATCAGACCAGAGGACATTTCTCCAAAAAGTACGATCTTTGTCCCCATGTGCAGTTGCAAACCGTAGTCTGGCTTTTTTATGGCGGTTTTGGAGCAGTGGCTTCTTCCTTGCTGAGCGGCCTTTCAGGTTATGTCGATATAAGACTCGTTTTACTGTGGATATACAGTGAGGGAAAAAAGTATTTGATCCCCTGCTGATTTTGTACGTTTGCCCACTCACAAATAAATTATCAGTCTATAATTTTAATGGAAGGTTTATTTGAACAGTGAGAGACAGAATAACAACAACAAAATCCAGAAAAACGCATGTCAACAATGTTATAAATTAATTTGCATTTTAATGAGGGAAATAAGTATTTGACCCCTCTGCAAAACATGACTTAGTACTTGGTGGCAAAACCCTTGTTGGCAATCACAGAGGTCAGACGTTTCTTGTAGTTGGCCACCAGGTTTGCACACATCTCAGGAGGGATTTTGTCCCACTCCTCTTTGCAGATCTTCTCCAAGTCATTAAGGTTTCGAGGCTGACGTTTGGCAACTCAAACCTTCAGCTCCCTCCACAGATTTTCTATGGGATTAAGGTCTGGAGACTGGCTAAGCCACTCCAGGACCTTAATGTGCTTCTTCTTGAGCCACTCCTTTGTTGCCTTGGCCGTGTGTTTTGGGTCATTGTCATGCTGGAATACCCATCCACGACCCATTTTCAATGCCCTGGCTGAGGGAAGGAGGTTCTCACCCAAGATTTGACGGTACATGGCCCCGTCCCTTTGATGCGGTGAAGTTGTCCTGTCCCCTTAGCAGAAAAACACCCCCAAAGCATCATGTTTCCACCACCATGTTTGACGGTGGGGATGGTGTTCTTGGGGTCATAGGCAGCATTCCTCCTCCTCCAAATACGGTGAGTTGAGTTGATGCCAAAGAGCTCCATTTTGTTCTCATCTGACCACAACACTTTCACCCAGTTCTCCTCTGAATCATTCAGATGTTCATTGGCAAACTTCAGACAGGCATGTATATGTGCTTTCTTGAGCAGGGGGACCTTGCGGGCGCTGCAGGATTTCAGTCCTTCACGGCGTAGTGTGTTACCAATTGTTTTCTTGGTGACTATGGTCCCAGCTGCCTTGAGATCATTGACAAGATCCTCCCGTGTCGTTCTGGGCTGATTCCTCACCGTTCTCATGATCATTGCAACTCCACGAGGTGAGATCTTCCATGGAGCCCCAGGCCGAGGTAGATTGACAGTTATTTTGTGTTTCTTCCATTTGCGAATAATCGCACCAACTGTTGTCACCTTCTCACCAAGCTGCTTGGCGATGGTCTTGTAGCCCATTCCAGCCTTGTGTAGGTCTACAATCATGTCCCTGACATCCTTGGAGAGCTCTTTCGTCTTGGCCATGGTGGAGAGTTTGGAATCTGATTGATTGATTGCTTCTGTGGACAGGTGTCTTTTATACAGGTAACAAGCTAAGATTAGAAGCACTCCCTTTAAGAGTGTGCTCCTAATCTCAGCTCGTTACCTGTATAAAGACACCTGGGAGCCAGAAATCTTTCTGATTGAGAGGGGGTCAAATACTTATTTCCCTCATTAAAATGCAAATCAATTAATAACATTTTTGACATGCGTTTTTCTGGATTTTCTTGTTGTTATTCTGTCTCTCACTGTTCAAATACACCTACCATTAAAATGATAGACTGATCATTTCTTTGTCTGTGGGCAAACGTACAAAATCAGCAGGGGATCAAATACTTTTTTCCCTCACTGTAGATACTTTTGTACCTGTTTCCTCCAGCATCTTCACAAGGTCCTTTGCTGTTGTTCTGGGATTGATTTGCACTTTTCGCACCAAAGTACATTCATCTCTAGGAGACAGAACACGTCTCCTTCCTGAGCGGTATGACGGCTGCGTGGTCCCATGGTGTTTATACTTGCGTACTATTGTTTGTACAGATGAACGTGGTACCTTCAGGCGTTTGGAAATTACTCCCAAGGATGAACCAGACTTGTGGAGGTCTACAATTGTATTTCTGAGGTCTTGGCTGATTTATTTTGATTTTCCCATGATGTCAAGCAAAGAGGCACTGAGTTTGAAGGTAGGCCTTGAAATACATCCACAGGTACACCTCCAATTGACTCAAATGATGTAAATTAGCCTATCATAAGCTTCTAAAGCCATGACACCATTTTCTGGAATGTTCCAAGCTGTTTAAAGGTGCTGTCAACTTAGTGTATGTAAACTTCTGACCCAATGGAATTGTGATACAGTGAATTATAAGTGAAATAATCTGTCTGTAAACAATTGTTGGAAAAATGACTTGTGTCATGCACAAAGTAGATGTCCTAACCGACTTGCCAAAACTATAGTTTGTTAACAAGACATTTGTGGAGTGGTTGAAAAACGAGTTTTAATGACTCCAACCTATGTGTATGTAAACTTCCGACTTCAACTGTATGTATTAATTTGTGGATGTCCATCACCCATTTTGTATGACATGTTACGAATTGCAGAATTTGCAAAACTTATGATATTTTACAAATTTGCAAAAAATAATGATATGATACTAATTCTAGCTAGGTGGCTAACGTTAGCTAGCTTGCTAACATTAGCTAGGCTAGGGTTTAGGGTTAGGGTTAAGGTTAGGGTTAATTTTAGGAGTTAGGTTAAAGAGTTAAGGTTAGGTTTAGGGGAAGGGTTAGCTAAAAGGGTTAAGGTTAGGGTTAAGGGAAGGGTTAGCTAAAAGGGTTAGGGTTAGGAGAAGGGTTAGCTAACATGCTAAGTAGTTGCAAAGTAGCTAAAAAGTGGTAAGCAGTTGAACAGTTACTAATTAGCTAAAATGCTAAAGTTGTCCGTGATGAGATTCAAACTCGAAATCTTTGGGTTGCTAGATATTCACGTTATATGTCCACCCTGACCAACCACCCTACCTTTGTTTTTGCCTTAAGTAACCATACAAAACATAACATATCATACTAATTTGAGTGTCCCCGGATTTACATTTACTATGTTACGTCTAGTCCATGAGACCAGGCCGGACACTTTTAACCTACAGTACCTGACTACTAGGCCTGCTTTTGTCTCAGGAGTGCATGTTATGCCTGGTTCCATTACAAGCCGCCCACCAAGCACGTACTCTACTTTGCGCCACCGCCACTGGGCATTTGTGAGGTTAGAATTGATGCATCTAAACTTGGCCTAGTAATAAATTGAAATGTGAAGTGTAAATATTTTAGAGGAGCAATTCTTATCTAAAAAGTGGGATAAATGTTAGGTCTACTGATAAAAACAAACATGCCTTGTAAAGGTTTAATTATCATGTCAATGTATCTTTATAGGCCTATATATTTAATCAATATTTCACATCCTATGGACTTTGAAATCAATATAAGTCAACTCATTAACACTGTTTAATTGAACCACTACTAGAATGAACCATTTGATTATTTCTCATATGAACTTCACCTAAACTCCACTTGACATCAGT